AAAAGAAGGAACTAATAAACTAAATTATACTTATTTACAAAATATACTTATTTACTTATTTACTTATTTACAAGATGTAAATGGTCAACAGGACATGAGTCCCATGTAACGACTAACCTGATACAATACAATAAGTAGACATACATTAAAGACAAGGACTAGAACACTATTTACATAGCTATATAAAAAATAATAGTTTAGATTATGAGCAACAGCTTAAGTTGAAAGAACGGCATTTAGAGCAGTAGGTTTTCCAAGTGCACATTCCGTTAACATCGAAAGAAGAGTCTAATTGAGAAGAGTAGTGAGAATGGAGCTGGAGCTTAAAGGATGAAACAGACGAACTGTTACGAATGATCGGAGAGAGATTGTTCCATAGAAAGACAATTCGGTTAAAAAAAGAGTTTCTAAAAAGAGAGGTTTTGCACGGATTGACTTGAGACAAGTTGTCCTTGCTTGAACGGGTGCGAGATGAAGCAAGGACAACTTGTTTGTTAACTTTCTATGTTCAATAGAGTAGTTGTTGATACGTGATATGTTATTTCTCGACAGTGATCCTCAGACCTTGGTGCAATGTGTAAACTTCAGTCAGATCAAAAAGTCGCAGCCATTTACTGTAGGTTTGCCAACCAGAAAAACGCCGATGCAGTTCAAGAAGAAGTATGCGTCTTTGTGAAATAATGTACATGCATTGATCAAAACTATCTTAAACCTGTTTATATGGCGCTGCTATTGTTGGGTTTCAGTCAGCACTACAGGCCACTGAGCAACCACAGGCCAGCATGATCAGATTTGTTTAAACTGATTGTATTGCATTGTACTGTTGTATTGCATTGCATTGCATTGCATTGTACTGTTGTATTGTATTGTATTGTATTGTATTGTATTGTATTGTATTGTATTGTATTGTATTGTATTGCATTGTACTGTTGTGTTGTGTTGTGTTGTGTTGTGTTGTAGGATTACTACATATATAAAATTAAAAACTGTTAACATTATTTTTCACTCTGATATCTGCATGTTGGCCACAATTTGCTGCACAACAGTACTTAGTGAAACACATTTTTACCGAGTGTTGATATATATTGGCATGAAAAGGTAATATTTCATTTTCTTGTAAAAGATTCGTTTAGCAATGAACGTTCTTAAAAAATTTTAAGAAAAAACAATGCTAAGTCAGATAAAACACATCCTGACCCCGACTGCGTTTAACTTTACGCACGCAGCGCCCTTGCCGTATGAGCGCGCAGGGTTGAAAAATATGCCTGGCCATGGTGGGATTGGAACCTACGACCTTTGGAATACTAGCCCAATGCTCTGCCAAATTGACAGGAAGATATAGGAAAGCATTTGGACAAGGAAGATATAGGAAAGCATTTGACAAGGAAGATATAGGAAAGCATTTGGACAAGGAAGATATAGGAAAGCATTTGACAGGGAAGATATAGGAAAGCATTTGGACAAGGAAGATATAGGAAGCCCCCCCCTTGATACACAGACGAATTATGAGGAGAATGATCTTTTCTGTAGTATAAATTGAACCAGGGGCCGGTTGTATAAAAAAGTAATTAAAGTTAACTATAGTTAGTGGAAACGTCATCCAATAAAAAGTGCGTATTTGAGAGTTAATCACTATTTAACCACAAAATAATGATTAAAAAAGTGATTAAGAGTTTTATACAACCGGCCCCAGTACTCCAAAACCACCTTCTTAATTTCACAGGAAGAAACTTTTCAGATGTCAACTCCATTCTGCAAGCTGTAGAAGACGGTGTTGTTGACGGCGCTTTGATCGACAAGCTTACCGGTGCACGCCAGGAAGCGCTACGCGACCCAAGCAGTGTTCTCGTGGTGAAAAGTATCATTCCTCAGTCATTGACTTACGGCATATTTATGACTGGTCATGCTGTTAAATTGCACAAACAGTTTCGACAGTATTTACGGAACAACGCACAGCTCGTGACTGGCCTTGTTAAAAACTACACCCAACCGCTAAAAGTGAGTGTCGGAGGGCTTAGGTAAATGGTACAGGACAACTTCATCACCCCATCATCACAATAACCAGAATCACACCATCTTTATTGACACCACACCATCACTCTATCATCACCATCGCCACACCATCATTACAATCACCATGACCACACTATCATTACAATCACCACCATCATAACAATCACCACCATCATCACCACCACTGTCATTACCATCGCCACACTATCATTGCAATCACCATCACCACCATCATAACAATCACCACCACATCACACCGTAGACTAAACGAAATATTAACTGTCCAAATTAATTCGCTAAACTAATCTGAACTATGTAAGCTTATGTAAACAAGAGTAAACCATACACTAAGTGTGCCACTGAAGTGTACTGTATTATACATTTTCGCATATTTTGCACGAGTATTTATTATCTATTCTCAATTTTTATAGCACTTGAATAGCAATACAACATCACTTTTAATGAGTGTGTGCTTGTTGTCGTGTTTGGTTGTAAAACGAGCACTCGCGTGAAACTTCAATGTTTGTGAACGACAGGTGTCTGATCAGTTGATCACATTTAACCACTATTTTAATACTGATTAGCTGAACTTGCTTTCTGTAATTCATTGTTGGAACGATAAACTTGGGTCAGCTGTGTTTGTCTACAAATCCAGTATATTGAACCAACATAAAGTATTCACGATACTGCTGGCTATTGTACCGGGAACTTGAGCCACTTCCTTTACAAAATGTCAAAATGAAAACAATAGATTGTAAAATATAATATTGTGCATTTCTTTTTCTATTTTATACATGTTTTCTTGTAAATGGAAGGAGAGAACGAAGAGGAGGGCTATACCCTTACCTCGTTTAACCGCTTTCACCAGAAGACGAGAAATCAGGCTTGCGTAAGTTTATCGAAGGGTTCAAATCGAGAAAGCGAGTAACGTTTGTCGCACCGAAGGCTGCCTCACATGACAGCCAAACTAGTCTGGAAAACTCGACTCAAAATGGAGCACAGGTTTCATATCTTAACAGCGATATTAAAAGAAAAGAACTGTTGCCAAAAGAAAGCCCAGTTACTCCAGGAAGTGGCCAGCCAGTCTGTCAGTGACTTTCTTATTCAGTTAGCCAGTCCATTGGCTGATCAGTCAGCCAATCAGTTGGTAAGTTGATCAGGCCTAAAAAAAATACCTGTGGTTCCGGTTTCATATCGTGAAAAAATGATGCGTATTTCCTATGGACGAATTTGGCAATTTAGTTCAATAATTAGTGTGACAACAGACGCCATAATTTTGGCATGCTGTATGAGCAGCCCGCACCACCTGGAGAAAATAGGGTCGCACAGTCAATCGCGTTGAAAAAACTATAGGAGGTATTTTTTTTAGGCCTCAGCCATATATAGAATTTTTTAATACTTTCATGATTATATTTTGTCTAAACAAAGCTTGATTGAAATATTTGATTATATGCTTATCTGCATTGAAAATGGTTTTGTATTTGACTATTCTGACAGCAATCTCAAGGCACTAATAACTTGAAGAAATATTGGATGCCAGATGAGCAATGCAAGGTCTGTTACGAATGTGGAGTCAAGTTTCATACATTTAGACGTCGTCATCATTGTCGGCTTTGTGGTCAAATATTTTGCAGTCGGTGTTGCAATGAAGTTGTTTCAGGACATCAAATTGGATACACTGGTAAAATAAGTAGTTCCACTATACTATCATTAGTGAGTATTATCACCACCATGCATCATCATCATCAAACCCCATCACCATGATTGCCATCATCACCAATACCATCATTACCACTGGTCACCATCACCATCATAATCACCACCATCATCACCACCATCATCTTGCATCATGATCATCACCAACACCAACCTACCATCACCACCACCATCATCACCACACCACCAACCACCATCACCATGTCATACCATCATCATGATGCACCATCATCATGATGCACCATCATCATCATGCATGCACCATCATCACCATCACCACCATCATCACCATCATCACCACCATCATCATCACCACCACCACCACCATCATGCACCACGATCATCATGCACCATGATCATCATGCACCATGATCATCACCAACACCAACTTCACCACCACCATCATCCTCACCACCATCATCATCATGCACCATCATCACCACCATCATCATCACCACCACTACTATCGGCATCATCACCATGCACCATCATCACCATGCACCACCATCACCATGCACCACCATCATCACCACCATCATTATCATGAATGACTACAAGCCGTGACCTATACCTCTAGTTCTGATATTGAGAAGAACTTAAAACAACTCAAAGAAGACCTAAGTCTTGTTGCACAACCAGATAGTACCAACCCTGCTGTCAGTGTTCATGGTTGGAATGCTTCATTAGATGATCCTGAACTCAATCGATCATTTGATGTTTTGAGTACAGGAGGAAATCTAAACTAAACTAATTTTACTTTATATTGGATAGCTCCACCAGTTCCAAAGTGTTCTTCCTTAAGAGGTCCAGTAAGAATCCTATACCTATCAGTTCTAAACTTTTTCCCTAGAGGTCCCGTAAGGGTCATCTCTTATTAATCTAGTGTTACTACATTAGGAACCTAAACTAAACTAACTTTATTTATACTGGAACACCTATCAGTCAGTTCTAAACTGTTCTCCCTAGAGGTCCAGTAAGGGTAATCTCTTGTTGATCCAGTATTACTACAGGAGGCAACCTAAACTAAACTAACTTTATTTATACTGGAACACCCTATCAGTTCTAAACTGTTCTCCCTGGAGGTCCAGTAATCTAAGGATCATCTCTTATTGAGGAAATAGTGCTGTGCAAACTCTGGTTTTTCATCTCCGGCTCCGGCCGAATTACAGCTCTGAGCTCCGGCCACATCATAAAATATTAAATAAATGTTTTACGATCAGAGAACATTTATTAATATTATTATGAATAACCCTTTTCGCGCTTCCTAAATCAGCTCAGGAAACAAAACAGTGAAAACACTTAACCACGCAGAAAATATCTATATGGAAACCAGCCTCGAAAAATCTTTGACACGAGGCATGACTCCGGCTAGTCCGGTGCACAGCACTATGAGGAAACTGAAGTATGTGGAGAATGAAAGTGTAATGATTGATATATTCTTTCCACTCAGGATTCATTCAAAGACTTGTGGAAACAGATCACCCTCCTAGAACTGGTCTAGAGTTCTTGACTCACAGAGTCAGGCTTCGAACATATTCTACTTGTTTTGTTGGCCGAGATCTTATGAATTGGTTGATGATCAATAGAAAAGCACCAAATAGGTATATAATATATTGTAATTTGCCAGTTGACATCCACCTGGAATTAGGGAAATCATTGTATATTTATTCTATTTATGCCAGATCAAATTACTCTGTCTAATGCCAGATGGTTGTACTCTAATTTTAGGCCAGTAGCTCTCCAAATTTGCCAAGGATTGCAAGACTTGGGTTGGATTGAACCACTGAACACAAGAGAACCAGCTTTTAAAGATGACATTTCTCTCTATATTCCCGGACCAGTAAGCTGACTTTGAATCCTTTTTAAATGTTGATTCTTCTTATAAGTGTGAACACATTGATTCATTGTTGTCCACTATCGTATTGCTTACTGGAACCCAACAATACTTACACATTTCTCATTTTTCACAGAGAGCCAGTGATGAACTTTACTATCCCGACTTGCGTCCACCCTCGTCAGTTCCCCAAGGGAATAATTCTTATAAAGGAAAACGAGAACCGGTTGTTTTCATTTTGTATTACAAACGGGAAATTGATAATCAGATGATCAAACTGATTATCAATTTCCGTTTGTATGCAAAATGACTGAAAAACGGCAAACTTCGCAAGGCTATATTATCCGCATTTTACAACATTTCGCAACGAAATTTCGGAATATTACTAATTTTGTGATGCTCTTTCAAGCTGTGATGAAATTTTTGTCCAGGCATATCTAGATAAAAATTTCACTCATACAACAATTATCAAGATCGGGTAAAGACAAGATATAGTTCGTGTGATACTTTGTCTGTGTGTAAACAGGTTAAAGACACAGTTCAGCATTTTGATTGATTAAGGCGCACTTCAGCCCTTTTAATTGAAAAAAAAACTAAATAGGAAAATGAATTATGGTTTTTCTCGTGTCCCTGGCTTTGTTTACCAACAACAATCCATAGTTTTTACCCGTGAAGTGAAACTGTGATAATAGCGGCAGTTTTTCGTCACGTCCGCGTCGTAGATTTGGTATATCTTAAGCTCCCTATTCTAGCTACAGTAGTTCTCCTAGGATCTAGATGGATGGTGCGTTTTACACTATACGAACGAATTATCGGGCAAGTAATTCCAGAGTCAAATACATATCAGGCGGTCCAAGCGCTCAATCGCCGAGCCTCGATGTCTTCGTGAACGTTGAAAACTGTTACCTTCCTAAACGACTGGTATCCGTGGAAGCCAGTGAAGAGACTGGGGCTGAGAATGAAGTCACTGACGAGACGAAAAAGGATGATAAAGTAATTACTGCCAAGGATCTGTCATCTCGTCATCTGAAGAAGAAAACGAGGAACATGTGGTAGTGGAAAAACTCGAGTATGTTCTCCTCAGAGGTCCAAAGAGAACCATCAGGGGCTTGTTGTTCAAAGTTGGATTCGCTCTGGGTTAAAATATAACTGCTGTTTCGGTTTGTGTATTTCTGCCGGTGAAGTATTTTTAGATCAGTGATTTCTACACGTCCGTTTGAAAATTTCAGAAAAGAAAATTGAAGGTTTCTGAAGAAATATATCCAAGTTTATAAACAAGCAAAGTTTGCTTTGAATTTTGGGTTGACCTAGATGGAAAGACATCATTGAACCTCTTGCTATTAAAGTTTGTCAAACGGTGAGTCATCTGTTCAACTTGCTTTTTATCCTCAGCAGCCGCGCAGAAAAAACAATAGAAAAAGACTGGCACTGAACGTCAATTTCCGTCATCTTGCTTTCAATTTTTGGACGCGAGTTTATAATCCAGATATATATATCAGCCATCCCAACAGCTGCACAAGAGACCTTGGGTTTGATAACGCTGGGTGTCCCAAAAAGACTGGACACTGTTTGATTTATAATACTTTTGTTTGTGGAAACACCAAGTAAGTTTATTAAATTTACTTGATGTTTCCACAAACAAAGTATTATTTGTTTTATCGCCATGCAAACCTACAAAGAACTTATTACCGTTTGATTTCATGTAACGTAAAAGCTATAAAATCTATCGCAATGAAATGAAGATCATTGCATTCAGAAAGGACGAACTTAGATTTTGATATATAACACTTGAATTTACATGTAATATTGAGCGAGATACAAGCAAAATAAAAATAATTATTATTTAACAAGTATAACTACATTGGTTGTTTTATGCTAGTTCAAAGTTCAAACATCAATAGCGCAGTCAATACAGTATCCAGCAGGTGTCCAGTTTTTTTTGGGACACCCGGTTGTTGACCAGTCAGAAATTGCACAATTTTCGAAAGCTTATTATTCGAAGGGTATTCATGTAAACGTCTTCAAACTTTGTATACTTACTAATTTTGAGGTGGTCGTTTTAGTGATTTGGTTCATTTCTTAATTTGGGCACTTTTTAACACTCGTCCCCAGTCCTCTCGTCAACTTCGGAATGGCTAATGTTGATGTGACCATAAGGTTAAAATTTCTACACCTGTTCGTAGGTTATCCCGGGCGTCGAGACTGATGACGAGATGGACATGCGTCATTATGTGAAAATCAAGAAAATTCCAGGGGGGTCGCGGAGTGATTGTCGCATCGTGAACGGCGTGGTGTGTACTAAAAATGTTGTCAATAAGAAAATGGCGCCAATCATCACGCAGCCACTCATTCTCATGCTCGCTTGTCCTGTAGATTTTCAGGTCAGTGTCCTGTTGGGTCAGACTTCATAACCATAATCCGACCCTTACCCTTGCCAGTGGCGAACACTAGGGGAGGGGTGGGGGGAAAGTTGCCTCCCCCCAATAACGTCCGAAAACCTTTGATTGATAGCTGAATAAGTGTATAACAAAGCTGTAGAACAATTATTTTTCAACCATGAAAGCACTGATAGAAAACAAGATGGCGTCTTTGGATTCTCTGGTCTTACAAGAAGAGGAGTTTCTCAAGAACATGGTGGGCCGTATAGTCGCTTTGAAGCCACGCATGGTGTTGGTCGAGAAAACAGTTTCACGTTTAGCCCAGGAGATGCTCTTTGCAAAAGGAATATCTGTCATTCTTAACATTAAACCGGTAAAGATTTATTCATCCATTCAATAGTCCAGAATTACTGTACGTCCTAGTTGTCAAGATCAAGAACGCCAAGACGAGGCTTCGTGCTGAATTTGATTAGAAACATTGTACATTGAAACCTCGTTCTCTCATGCTACCACGCCTTGTGACGTCATTATGCATAAGGTCCATTGCATAGATATCTTATATACACTAGATAGCGCATTTATAATTGAAGTAAAATTGAAGCCAAGAATATTCCAGCGGTTACCCCCATTTGAATAGATGGCGGCCATGTTGGAGTTTCCCACTCGCTAATAAACGCTTAAAAAACAACAATAACTTTGATCATTTGAATAGTTTGATGATGTATTTGGAATAGGTTTAACTTAATGTTTAAGTTCCCTGTTTAAGAAATAGAAAACATACGAGTCTTCTCATTTCATGGGAATATCCTGAGTCTGCAATCACGGCTTCAATTTTTGAATTGCAGAATAATTAGATGCACTATCTAGTGTATATAAGATATCTATGGTCCATTGCCCTCCAAAAACTAAACCTTTTCTTTAGCTGTGGTCTGTGCTCAGATATGGATCGTATGGTGGCAGTCTAGTACGCCTTCAACCAGGCCTCGAATTTCCCTGAAATCAATCGACGGCAATGGCGTTGAAAATTGCCGTAGAACGTAACAGCTGTCTACGGCAATTTTGGCAGTTTCCACGGCATTTTTTCAAATTACTGTAACAAAAAATTAATTTTATTGTTAATATAGTAATTTAGTGAATAGTATAAAAATTATACTATACGGCAAAACATTGCCGTCGTTTCCGCAATGATCCACAGCATTTTGTACTCCCTCTACGGCAATTGCCGCGATTGCCGCGATAAAATTCGAGCCCTGCCTTTAACTCTATCGCGTCTGGGCTGCATCTTTCGCAATTCAGCTTTCAGCTGCAAGAAAAGTATGTTCATTTTTAGAAACTGATGGCAAGAATATCCCGTTGTGTGCAAGGTGATGTGTTACCATCATTGGACCAAGGTAGTCGACCGAAATTAGGAACATGTCAGAAATTCAAGATCGAAAAATTCATTTTCAAGGTACAGTGTTCCTTATATTTTTCAGGTAGTTTCATTGGGCCATTCCATTTAATGTCCACCCCCCCTATATTCCCCTATAGACGAGGGGAATAGGGGGGTGGGATGGATATTAAATGGAATGGTCCAATGAGAAAAAAAGGTCAAAGTGCCGACACAAAACACCCCTCAGAAATTTGTAAATTTTCCCCTTGCCCCTCAGAAAAATCGAAGAGATCAAAGACTTCCAACAGGCTCAACCCCTCAGAAACGTCTTTGGGGTCACCCTTCAGAAAAATTCGTCCATGGGGGGGGGGGGGGTGGACATTAAATTCATTCCTACCAACAAAAGCTTGTTCATTAAATGTATAAAGCAGATTTCGATTGTTGGATATTACAGGAATCGAACCTCAGTCACAGGAAGGTGCATGTACGAACATTTAATAGGAAGAATTAAATCAAATAATTTTTTTTTTTCAGAATGGTTCTACAAAAACGTTGTCATTTTTCGAAGGTTGCAACCCTAACTGGGCGCCACAATAATTTTGCGTGGCGGGAACCGTAAAGAACTCGCAGTAGTTAGAAACGTTTTAAGATTCATGGTTTTTGTTGCTTATAATTCCAAGCTTGAGAAAGCTTTTGTAATGGACGAATTTGGGACGCCTTTTGTACAAGAAGGGAAAGACGACGAAATTGTGGATGATGATGCTTCACGGCAAAAAGTGGAGTTTAGTGTCGAGGGAGAAACCGCATCAGATGAACAAAGTATGGACGATTCAGAAAAACACAACTGTGGATCTTCAACAGAAGCGAATGTGGCTTGTTGGGATTAAAGGGAATTCGACTGTACAAGGAACGATACACGGAGATACGTTTGTACCCACAAACCGCGCGGAAAGGGCGGAAAGTGATGAGCATCGGGGAAAGTTATCTTTATTGGTATGTAATTTTGATCTGTAAGCTGCCGTGGTTTGTGTCTGGACTGCCTGAAGGAGATTAAAGGCACAGTTCAGCCTTTTGAATGATGGTTTTTAACGCGCATTTCAGCCCTTTAATTGAATAACTCAAGATCAGAAAACTTAATGTTTTTAACATTTTAAAACATTTTTATCGTTAAAAACATTGAGTTTATTGATCTTAGTTAGTTTTTTTTTTCAATTAAAAGGACTGAAATGCGCCTTAAAAACCATCAATCAAAAGGCTGAACTGTGCCTTCAAAACACTTTGTCAGGGCAGTTGTCAGATTATAAGTTTACCTCAGTCGCATGTGAGAAGAGATCTTCCAGTTGACTCTACCAAACACCGATGTTTCCTGTCGTAACACTAGATTAATGTGGGCTTACTGACCTTTCGTTAAGTAAAACGTCCGGTGTTAACCACAATAATCTGTTATTTTCATTGCGTTTTCTCTAGAGAGATTGCTTTGATCCATTTCTTCATCAGATGATCGCGGTGATGTTTTGTAGTTATTCTATGGATTCGGGGGTTAGAGTAAGGGTAGGATTTGGGTTAGTTACATAGCCATTTAACACATCTTCCGAGAATGACGTCACGCAGCGCCGACCTAAAGTTTTGCATGTGTTTAAATTCTTTGGCATATTATTTCAGGACCGTTTTCATGGAATTTTACGCCAGAAATGACATTAGTTTGGGTGGTTTCCTGGAACGATATTGCTTCAGGTAAGGCTTCGAACGTGCATGTTTTTTACCTCCGTGATCATGGCTTGTTTAAACGGATCCAACATTGTTGGGCCAACATCATCCAACATTGTTGAAATAATGGCCCAAACGGCTTCTTTTTCAAATATTTTTGTCAAGACTAGGTTTAGAGTTTGAGTAAAGCTTATCTAACCAAAAAGATTTGAAAGAGAAGCAGTCATATCTATTATAGTAACATTGCTGGATGATGTTGGTCCGACAATGTTGGATCCGTTTAAACAGGCCTGTATACTGTTTGGTTAGAATTTCACCCCAATCGCATGTAACAAGCATCTTAAAAAACCTTTCAAGTATCATTCAATCGAGTGAGATCACTGAGATGCCAGCAAAATGTTGATATTACCAACAAGAGTGCTTCCAGTTTAATGTCCTCCTGTAGTAACACTGGACCAGTACAGCCAGAGCAGTTTAGAAGAAGAATTGTGTATTTGTACCCAAAAGAAAATGATATATCTAAATATATTTACATTCAATTCATATAAATTATAGGTACTAGCTTAACACTTTGATGACAACAAGCTCGTGGCAACTTATTACAACATCAGTCTTGTTGGAAGAACTTGTAGCAAGTCTCTGACCTGGTTAACGGTTGACCACCCACTCCACTAGGCACTAGATAGTGCTTGGTGAAACCTAGCCATGACATTCTTTCTTAAGGTAACTCCTGTTGTCCCAGTTTCGGACGAAGCTTGGCGATTATCGTTTGCGAAGTATTTGGAATTAAGAATCTATGCATCATGTTACAGAAGACGTTGTACTTTCGAACCGTGCGATCACTCTCTGCATCAAGATCATTACCAATATTTTGCTCTTAATAACATTGTCGCATCACTCAAGTAAGTCTACGGTGAAATCTCTCCATATTAGGGACCGGTCATTTATGGTGGGGGGTGGCACCGAAGAGAAATGTTTTTAGTGGCAGAAATTTTGCTGACCCAACCATTAAAAAGTCAAAAATTTGATTACCCAACCTCAAATATCAAGTAAAAAATAAATACCCACCCCTGGCCAAAATTAAACTTTATTCAGTTGTCACATATGTCCTTTACCCGATTTCTGTGACAGGAGTTTGATAACTGCTTGTGAAATTAATTTGCTGCAGTTTAATGTATCATGTTGTCTGCACATGTGCTTTCTTTGGAGACACCATTAATTTGTGTTCTAACAAATTGGAAAATGATCAAGACAGTGACTGATTGATTCATATATTGTATTGACATACGACTATAACTTTTTATTGCCCAACCCTTGAGTTGTTTTGTTTTTCATTTACCCAACCTTTTACTTACTCAAAATTTAGTTTACCCAACCCTTTTCTCTTCGGTGCCACCCCCCGCCATAAATAATGACCGGTCCCTTAGGGAGTTTACGATGTGCGACCCGGCCGGCTCAACGACGCGGTCTAAATTTTAGCTCAAGAATGAGCGCTAAGCAATTCGATTACTGTAATAAATATTTGACTCTTTCAAATAACCTTACAAAATGCTACGTTCGGCTAAAGCGATGCAATGTTTGCTGTAATTTCGACGTTTAGTAACACCTCTTGTGTCGCATTAAGCTTTCGCGTTGCCTGGAAGACGTAAAAATGCTTTTTTAACGTTGTGTTGAGAATGACAACGCGGTTGACAATACTCATGGGACCACAAATTATTGCCAGTTTTTGTCTTGCATGACGAATTTCTTTGTAAGTTCTTTGTAGGTTTGCATGGCGATAAAACACATAATACTATTGTTTGTGGAAACACCAAATTTCTTTGTTTTGAAAGCGCGTCGTCGAGCCGAGCGCGTCGTCGATCGTAAACTCCCTATTGACACATCCTTGATTCGGATATCTCTCTCTCACATTTTTTTAGCCGAAAGTGGTTATTTTTACCGCGCGTAATACAAATATATACACAATTTGCGAACTTCACAAGGCTATATTTTCCTCATTTTACAACAATTCGCAACCAACCTTTGCAATTTTACTCATTGTTGATTCTCTTAGGGTTTTCTATGGTATTGGATTTTGTTCTTGTTGTCGAGATCAAAATGTAGTCTATAGCTGGAATAATCCATTATAACGAAATATTTTTTCACTTTCTTAGGTATGTTCCTCTGAACATTTATTCAGTTCACCTTCCACCATCAACAATAACGATTATCGAAGAGGAACGAAAGCCTCAGTTTTGGATTCAGCATATTCAGGCCATGAGCGTGAGGTAAGAATTCTGAGAATTTTGTTTGGAATTTCCTGGACCTTTCTATTAAATATTAAGTGTGATATACGTTTCTCAATTATTCCCCTCACAGGGTGTATCAGCTTATCACTTTAATCAGTGATCGCATTGCAGCACTGAAAACTGAAGCCTATATTTCGGATTGCGTCACCGATATTGCGGTAAGCCTAGTCAAAATCAGTGGTCAACATACACACTAAAACATTTTACATAGAATGGGATTAAATACACTCTTTCGATAATTACGTCACAACAAAACTGTTTCAACTTAGGACCACCTTAAATGGAAAGGATTGCAAGTCTCTTTCTCATGGGCTATGCACAGAGAAGCAGAGCATCCTTCTTCAACACATGCATGAAACAGAATTCTTTATTTTGACCAATAAATGTGGAAATAAGCTTTAACACGAAAACGAGGCTGCAGGTTATTGATCAAAATCCAAAATTATTTTTCATGCATGTGTTGAAGAAGGATGTTCTGCTTCTCTGGGCATAGCCCGTGAGAAAAAAACTTGAAATCCTTTCCATTTAAGGTGGTCCTAAGTTGAAAACAGTGTAGTCGTGACGTAATTATCGAAAGATTCTACAGAAATGTGCAGAGTGAGAGGGATTTTACTTCCTGGAAAATACAAGCAAAACGTGGACGTTTTGAGCTAGAAATCTAACTAGAAATCTCTCAACGTCTTTCAGTACGACAGAGGACAACTCGATGAGAAGGTTAAAGTGCTGGATAGTAAAGCAATGCTGCTTCTCAGTCCCCCGACAATCCCAGGCGTGACTCAGACGAACAGATTGTTAGAACCACATGAGGTTGCAGCCGTGGAGTATGAAATTTTGGATGGAATAACTTTGCTCAAGAGAATGATGTGTGAATATGGCGAGAAATGGAATGCAAAGTACGATAAACTAAAACTACAGAAATATATACTGGATAGCTCTATCAGTTCTAAAGTTTCTCCCTAGATGCCCAGTAAGAGTCATCTCATATTGATCCACTCCAGTGTTACTACAGGAGGAAACCTAAACTAAACAAACGTTATTTATACTGGATAGCTCTATCAGTTCTAAAGTGTTCTTCCTAGATGTCCAGTGAGGATAATCTCGTATTGATCCAGTGTTACTACAGGAGGAAACCTAAACTAAACAAACTTCATTATACTAGATAAGCTCTATCAGTTCTAAAGTTTCTCCCTAGATGTCCAGTAAGAGACACCCATATTGATCCAGTGTTACTACAGGAAGAAACCTGAACTAAACTAACTTTATTTTGTACTGGATATAGAGGGAAATACCGGAGTACTCTTTCGACTAGTCTGTCAATTGTTCTCAAGTAATATATACCGGTGACATGATCTTCTTTCTCCTGCAGATTAGTTGAACTACTTCAATTGGAAAATGAAAAAAAGAAATTCAAAAGCATGGAGGCAAAGAATTCCAGTTCTACTCAGACATCCACTCAAGTAAGTTACTGTACATCCGTTGATCAACAGGTGGCGTACAGTTAGGGCAGCAGATCGTAGTCAACTTAAAATATGTTGATTTTGATAGAAGTTAGCAAGTTCAACTGCATCTCTCAGTAGTAATTCATAGAGAGTAGAATCAATA